TGCCAGGAGGTGGGAGACACGAGGGCCTGCTGGAAACTTCCTTACTACTCAGGGAATGCCACCCTGTGAGTGTGGGCTCACTTAATCTCTGCAGAGTTCCAAGATACACCCTCCACTCCAGGCTGAGGAAGCCCCGAGTGAGAGCCATCAGCTCCTCAAGGGGTGAGTCTTGCTCCACAAGGACTCTGCATTCTTGGTATTGCCTCACAGTGACAGAGAACCCACTTCCTGTGACAATCCTCCTTCCCTCCTCTTCCTCCAATTCCTTCTAGACTTTTGTTCAGTCCCTGGCAGGACACCACAGCTCCCAGGAGCCACGGGGTGCAGGAGTTGGGGAGGGGGCTCCCTGAATTCCGACTTGACTTACTTAGCAGCTTGAAAGTCCGAGGATGTCTAGCAGGCAGGCTGCTCCCCATTGCAGCTGCTGAACTCCTGCAGGAGACAGGCCACAGATCCTTCATCTGCCTCAGATCTGGGTGAAGCCAGGAGCGATGCTGACCCAAGCCTGGAGGGCCCCATCATGCCTGCAGAGATGGCACTTGGTACACCAACAGGAACCAGTCCAGAAGTCAAGGGAGCCGGCGCTCCTGGAGCTGGTAAACCAGACTAGATTGGGAGGCAGGGACAGTCTCATCCCGGGTCTTCATCACTTACCTTGTCACTGAGTGTCAAGTTAGCTGGAGACGCCAATTAGGTTTTCATTTATTTTATTTTATTTTATTTTATTTTATTTTATTTTATTTTATTTTATTTTTGAGACAAGGCCTTGCTATACAGGCCGCCTTTTTGTTATGTTTTGTTGTTCTCCCCCACGCCCAGACAGGGTTCCCTGTGTAGCTCTGACTGTCCTGGAACTCACTCTGTAGACCAGGACCTGGCCTAGAACTCAGCAATCTGCCAAGTGCTGGGTGTGTACCACCACTGCCCAGCTTTGTGTGGGTCGTCTTAACTTGGAACTTGGTGTATAATTGTTGTAGGAGCTGCAGGCCCTGTTCCTGCCACCCCAGCTCCTGGTCGCCTGGCTAGCTTAGGCCCCGAAATAACAACACACAAACTGTATTCTTTTAAACACTGCTTGGCCCACTAGCTCTAGCCTCTTACAGGCTAATTCTCATATTTTGCCTAACCCATTTCTAATAATCTCCATAGCACCACTAGGTGCGCTTAATGGGAAAGATTCAGCATGTCTGACCTGGCGGCTTGCTTCATTGCGCCTGCCCTGGAGAGGGGAGCATGGCCTCTGAGCTCACTTCCTCTTCCTCCCAGCATTCTGTTCTGTTTACTCCTCCCACCTATGTTTTAACCTATGAGGGCCAAGCAGTTTATTTTTTAACCAATGACCTTCCTCCATCATATAATCCAGGCTGATCTTCAATTCACAATCCTCCTGCCTCAGCCTCACAAATCCTAGGATTATGGGTACACCACCATGCCCTACGGAAGCAGGTTTTATTGCCAGTTTTTGAGTTGGCATCAGCTATCTTGGGCACCGTGTCCAGTGGGGCCAAGGCAGGGAGCGGCAGCACCTGAAGAAGGGACAGAATAGCAATCCTAGACCATCCATTTGCTACCCTATGCCAAGCACAGTGCCATACCGGAGACACGGGAGGACTTGGTCTAGTCTTTGAGATCATACCCTTGTGAGAGAACAAGATATGAAGCGCACAGATAGGATTTGGTGCCCTGGCCTCCCCTCCCCAGCTGCTGTGTTGATTGATTCTCAAATTGTGTGTTAAGCAATGCATCATCTCTCAAAGCTATATGCATTCAATTGTTTTACCACTTGGAAGAGTGCTAATGGTTCTTTTTTTGATTGACAGAATTTTGACAAGAATATTACCTCTTGGAAAGACAGGGATACAAATTACACTATATTACCTGGGGATGGGTGCTCCCTACACTATATTACCTGGGGTGGGGTACTCCCTACACTATATTACCTGGGGGTGAGGTGCTTCCCTACACTATATTACCTGGGAATGGGTGCTCCCTACATTATATTACCTGGGGGTGGGGTGCTCCCTACACTATATTACCTAGGGGTGGGGTGCTCCTATACTATGTTACCTGGGAATGGGTGCTTCCTATACTATATTACCTGGAGGGAGTGCTCCCTACACTATATTACCTGGGGAAGAGGTGCTCCCTACAATATATTACCTGGGGAAGAGGTGCTCCCTACACTATATTACCTGGGAGTGGGGTGCTCCCTACACTATATTACCTGGAGGGAGTGCTCCCTACACTATATTACCTGGGGAAGAGGTGCTCCCTACACTATATTACCTGGGGAAGAGGTGCTCCCTACACTATATTACCTGGGAGTGGGGTGCTCCCTACACTATATTACCTGGAGGGAGTGCTCCCTACACTATATTACCTGGGGATAGGGGCTCAGCAGGAAGAGAGTAGGAGGTTGTTTTCCCACTTTTGGCAATGATTTTTCTAAAGCCAAGAATCTTGTAAGTTCAAAGAGCCTTTGAAGCCGCATGTATTTCCATAGAAAACACACCCCTGTAGTTACTGCTGAGAATATTGTTTTCCTTGTAAGGGGCTGGGTTTAGGAGCGATGAAAAGCAGACCCTCAGTTTCGTGGCTGCAGAGAGGCTCTCTTTCCCGCAGCTGCAAGAAGCAGCGACAGCACGTCCCTCTTTTTGGATTTCTTTTGTTAATTGTGAAGACTTGGCAGTTTTAAGCCAGGCTCTGGTTTAAAATTTCATTGTAAATTTCCTTTGATTTTATTGCCAGAAACAAAGAGTAAGATTTTCCTTCAGAGCAGGGAAAGTATGGCACACGGTGTGTGTGGTGGCGGTGGTGGGTCCCCTGTGGACCTGAGCCAGCAAACCTGGACAAAGAGTGGGTCCTAGGAGGACCTCAGCAAATGGGCTCTTCTTGTAGTGTTCTCGGAACACGGGGAACTGTGCAGATTTCTTTGAGCTAAAAAGAGGCAGAAGTTGGGGTTGGCCGTTTGTGGACACAGGAAACACGTGGTAGGCTGTGCGTGGCAGGTGGTGGGAATGAAGGTGTGTGGATTGTAAACCACCACTCCTGGGACTCCTCCCTCGCCTACGCCTACGCACAGGGCCCACCCCAGGCATCTGCATTCTAATTCTGGAGGAATGGGTGTCAGAGCCAGGACAGCAGTAGACTTCAGTCAATGTCTGACTTTCCCCTGTAGGTTGCTTACATCCCACGGGCAGCAGTAACTTCAAGGAGCCGGGAAACTCACAGCTTAAGGTCAAAGGGTCAAAGGGTCCTGGGCAAGGGCCCCCTCAGGGGGCAGCAGGGGGTGGAGTAAGGCGGGGATAAGGTTGCTGGGGTGAGGTGGGGCTGCCTCTCACAGCTAGAGGAAGGAGGGACCATTACTGAGACCTTTTCCACCACATAAAATGGGTGTGGCACATTCAGGGACCAGCAAGAGTGGGTGGGTAGTGGCGGTGGCAGCGGTGTGATGTGCAAGGCACTGGGGGAAGAGCACAAACTTTTTGGGCCCAGAATATTTTTTTCTTCCTAGGACCCAGACAAGATGGAAGAAAAGAGTCAAACAGAGCCAAACGTTCAGAGTTCCGGTGGACAGACTCTCAGAAGCCCACAGGAGGGAAAGCTGGGCCAGGAAGGCCCAGAGCCGGCTTACATGGCTTCCCAGGGCTTGCCAGCATCTCAAGATCCCTCCAAGGGGCTTGACACTGGCCTGAGCTATGAGAGCGCAGAACCGCAGCCACTGCTGGCAGACTCTCCTCAGGGCCATCCTGAGGAGACACCACAGGGTCAGCGTGGGCAGTCGCTGCCGGGGTATAAAGGACTAGGCAAAGGGGCTCCTCCAAGTCAAAGAGAAAGGAAGCAGTCTCAGCAGGGCCAGGAATTCAAAACCCCTCAGTTTGGGGAAGACGGTAATTCAGAAGTCCCGGGGAAAGCGACATTATGGGGCCAGGAAGAGGGCGACCCTCAGGGCCATTCCAGGGATTTCTGCAGGTTCCCAGGAAAACCGATCTCCCAGTGTGTGGAAACCGAGATACCAGGACCCCCGGATAGTAGCACCCTGCTGACCCAGGAAGGGGAGTGGACTCCTCCCTGTGCCCTGGTGCCTCTGGCCCAGCCGCTGCTCCGAGGCCCAGGAGGTGGGATGCCGGCCTTTGGGGAACAGGAGCCCCAGACGAGGCTTCCTGGCTCAATCTGGGAGCAGAGAGGCCCTAGGAACCCCAAATCCTCAAAGGCCGCATGGCCCGAGCCCGGGAGCACGGAGGAGGCACCGGCCCGCACTGAGCAGGAGGCTCTGCAGCGGCTGCTGGAGCTGCACGGCGCAGCCAGGGAGCGGCGGCAGCAGGACCGCGAGCATCAGCGGCTGCGGGTGCGTCCCAGGGCCCGGCCTGCTGGTGGTGGTGGAGATGGGAGGGTCGCCGAGGCAGACAGAGCCCAGCTCATTGCCGCCTCCCCAGGTCCTGGAACGACTCCGCATCCTTGGGAACCATCACCGCCGGGTTCACCCGCTGGGGCTCCCTCCCAGAGCGGCTCAGATGGCACTACAGGCAAGAACCTGGGGAAAGGTGTCCCGGTCACCACGGTTCTGCCCCTGGAGGGGAGGGCAGCAGCCAGCGGCTTCCGAAGGGGTCCAGCGGGAGAGGGGCGGGCGCTGGACGGTACCCTGATGGCTGCACCAGCCCGCTCAGAGTTCTTGCCACCTAGGAGGATGCGGCAGGATGGAGACATACCTTGCGAGAGCGGCTGGAACAAGTGCAGAGAGGAAGGACTCAGTGGCTGCGGGCACTCGGGGCCAGGTGAGGGGCAGGCAGGGAATGGTAGGCACTACTTTGCCCTAACATCTGATTGACAAGTCACTGTCTTCTCAGGAACACCCAGAACTTTCAGGAGCTACTGTCCCCTGGCACTGTGAAGCCTAGTCCTGGAGAATAGTGCACACACCACCCAGCCTGCTCCTACCTTGGCTGGGTCGCCGTGAGATAAACTAAAGGAAAAGCTAAAGGGTAACCCCAAGTGTGAAGCAGTTTCAGAAAGGTTCCAACGGAAGCATCAAGGCCAGGGAGAACAAACACACACACACAGCAATGCAGCTCCACCAAAATCCTATTATTTCCTCTTTCTGCTCTTCTGTCGCTGCCTGGCCCAAGGTCAGAGGGCCAGGTCCCGGGGGTCCAGTAATGCAAAGGCTCCATTCTTACGGAAGAACGACTCAATGCGGCACATCTTGCAGGAGACCAATTCCTGCTTTATTGGGGGGCCTGGGAAGAGACATCAGACTCTACGAATAGGTTTCTGGAGTACAGGAGTTCTGCCACATATCCCTAGGACTCTGCCTATGGCTCTACTCCGTGTGAATAAATGAAAAGGGCTTCCGAAGAGTGAGGGCTACAGGAAAAACTCAGCAGTGATGGCAGTGTGGCCTGCAGCTGTCTGCCATGGTAGCCCAGTTCTAAGATGGTCCGCCAGGGCCACTAGGTCAGTGTGCCTCTGGCTATGATCGTCACAGGACGGACTGTGGAGACGTGGAGCTTCCTTCTACCCCATTCCCTTCTGGGGCCTCCTCTTGCATTTGCTGGGAAGCTGCTCCCCTTACTTGTGAGGTACGGGGGGATATGAGGGAACCATCCAAAATTTCTGCAACTCAGGCAGCAGGACACATTTCCTAGAAACTCCTGACTGGTAGTAAACGGGCACTCAAGGGCCCTCATCAAAGCAGTGACACCCGTGGCCTCAGCGCTTCCTCCTCCTGTCTCTGTCCCGGCTGATGACCTACCTTCAGCCTGGGGCGGAGCTGCGGGCTCAGGTGGGCTGCCTTCCTACCAATGCCATCCCCACCTTCTGGTCCACCTTCCATTCTTTGCTTTAAATACCCCTTCCACTCTGGTGACTCCCTCTGAGCTAACTCCTCAAGGCCATGCTTCCCCACAGTGACTAGGGAGCCTACGGTGGCCAGCACAGGCTATCTTCACACATCTAATCAGCGACCACAGTGAAATCTGTGCACTGCCGTTGACTGCTGTCCCTGTCGCACTGAAGCCATCAATGAACTCCACTGAGTTTTGTCCAAAACATCCTTGATCTCAGTTCTGCTAATCCTACCCTTGCCAAGGTTACACAAAACAAATGCCTAGTTCATTTGCTAGATGCTTCAATTTCCCAAACCCAGTATCCCTGGCTTAAACCCCCCACTAGCTTCCCCTCAGATGAGGAGAAAATCCAAAGCCCTACCCCCATCATTTACCTTAAAAGCCCCAAGACTGATCTTTGCTAACAATCCAACCTGAAGCACATGCCCCCCCCCCATCCCTTCATTTCACAGGGCTTGTCCCTTAGATCTATCTCCTTGCCCCGTTTACACAATCTGGCCTTCCCCTAGGATGCCAGTTCTCCAGCATAAGGCACAAGTTCCATGTCTGTGAGGTGACTCCTGTATGGGAAGTTGGGGCTCACCCAGCTGCCAGCCATATGTGAAGTTGGTGGTGATGGGGAACAGGTAACGCGTCTCTGGCAGGTCCAGCTTTCGGGCATTGAGATACTGGTAGCGTCCCTGCAAGTCGTGGGAGATGCCTTCATAGAGCAGGGCTTTGGTGTCAGGTGGGACTGGGTACATTTCTGACTGTGAAGGAGCCTCTGGGACAGGGCTGGGGGCCTTAGAAGGGGTTGCTTTGGAGACAGGTGGTGGTGAGTCTGGGGCCGTAGGCATCAGGGTGGGGAGTTTGAGGGGCAGGCGAGCTGCGGCTTTAGCCTTCTGTTTGGCCTTCACCAGAGCCCCATACTTGCGGTGCCATTCACAGCGCAACTTCATCTCTCTGAGGTATTCCTCCTTCCAGAAGTTTTGCCGCAGGGTGTCCATGTTGAGCTGCCTCGACATGGTGGCAAGGGGAAAAGCGCTATCGGGGTGGCTATTGCTGAGTGAGCACAGCAGGCAGAGACAGTGGGGGGCTGCCCTGGGACAGTCACCTGGCAACCAAGCCTCACCTCACACAGGGCCAGAGTTCTACCTGCCATTGCCCTCAGCAGATGTCCCGGGTCACCCTTTCTGAGATAGCCCAGGGTAGGGCTCACTAACTAAACACCTTGATCCCCAAACCTGAAGGCTCCAAGCTCTAGCAGGAACAGTCGTTCTCAACCTTCCTAACGCTATGGCCCTTTAATACATTCCTCATTTTGTGGTGATCCCCAACCATAAAATTATTTTCAATGCTACTTCCGAACTGTAATTTTGCTACTGTTGTGAATTTTTTTTTAGATTTATTTATTATGTATACAGTATTCTCAGTACTCTGCCTGCAGACCAGAAGAGGGCACCAGATCTCATTACAGATGGTTGTGAGCCACGAATTGTTGTGGTTCCTGGGAATTGAACTCAGGACCTTTGGAAGGGCAGGTGGTGCTCTTAACCACTGAGCCATCTCTCCAGCCCCTACTGTTGTGAACTGTAATATAAATATCTGTGTTTTCTGATGGTCCTGGGTAAGGGCCATTCCATACACCAAAGGGTCTCGAACCACAGGCTGAGTGAGAATGATCTAGAATGACAATCCTATGCAATTGGTTTATTCCTTGGGCAAGGCCCCTCCCAGCACCAGAAAAACTGAGTAAAGGCACAAAAGTAGGGACTGGGCTCAAACTTTGTCCTCCATCCCCGAAGTCAGTCCATGACATAGGGGACCAGTCCTTGAATTAGGCTCCTGCTCAACGCTTCTTCATTACCTGGTTCTTTGGTAGCTTTCGCCTATTTCCGATCTAATGTACCCCAACACTGCACCCCTCACGTATCCATTCCAGCATCCATTTGGAGAGAATATTCTTTTAATATCAACAATGACACTGTGTAACAGCACAGGGAGGAGGGATGGAGAGAGAAGATGGTTGGGTTTTCTCTCCCTAACCAGCCTGGATCTGAACAGCAGAACCCCAACAGCTTAGAAGCCACTCAGCGAAGAGGAAAGGAGGGGCTGGAAACCAAGGCTTGAAACTTAAATAGAGGATGGCAAACTGGAAGAGGCCTGATAGTGAGAGGGGGCCGGCGGCTGAGGAGCCCTAGCGCAGGTCTTCGGCCGTGAACATGCCCTTGGCCCTGCGCAGGATGGAGTCTTTGGCTGCATCATAGGGATGCTCCTTGGATGGGATCTCCAGGACAGCTGGAATGGAACGCTGGTGGGCGTCAAGGGCATGCCGAACCATCTCTGCGATGTACTGGTTGATGAGAATGATGCCAATGTCATCCCTGTTTAGAAATTGCCTGTTGGGGAAGAAGAGGAAGAGATGGCAGTGGCCAGGGGGCACAAGGGTCTCAACCATAGCTTTCCTTGGATGAAGCAATTGCACTCAGAAGCTCAGAATCATACTGACCAGGCTGCATATCAGTGTGTTCTATAAGCTGCCTATGGGTAGGAAAGGGGAGGAGAGGGAAGTAGGTATGAGGCCCTTTGTATCAGCATAAGAAGATTCTAGAAACATAAGACTCTTAGTATTGATGAAGGTAGAGAAGGTAGAAATTTTAAGATATAGGGCTGAGGAGACCACCAAAGGCCTCAAGGTCTACAGCAGGGGGCTGGGCCAGGATGACATTTGCCATAAGCTAAAGACAGAAAGAGGAGACTAGGCAATGACAGAATCACAATTTCCAGACAGAAACCGTCATTATGGTTTTCCTATCATGTGATCACCCCCCCACACACACACACATCTACTCATTAAAAATAATTTACTGAAAAAAAAAAAAAAACAGAGAGAGAGAGAGAGAATGAACCAGGCGGTAGAAGCACACTTTCAATCCCAGCACTTCAGAGGCAGAGGCAAGCAGATCTCTGTGAGTTGGAGGCCAGCCTGGTCTACAGACTGAGTTCCAGGACAGTCAAGGCTACACAAAGAAACCCTGTCTTGAAAAACAAAACAACAATAATTTACCTACTTTGTGCTAAGCATGGAATAGACTTGACTTGATCATTTTTAGGATCCCTTCTTGTTGGAAATATGGGAAATTCTTAGAAGTAAAATCTGTCCTCCAATGACATTGGAGGTCACTTTGCCACGTCCGCTTAGAGATCAGCTGATACTCACAGTCTCCCAGGTGTGAGCCTGCCACACCCCGGGCAGTGGAAACTAGTCTCAGCCAGTATCCCTGGACTGGGCTATTTAGGGAAAACAGGTGAGGGCAGTTTGTTCCAGCGATTTGGCACAGTAGCCCTGGAAAAGGAGTAAGGGAAAGAATAGAGAGTTGGCACCCTCGATTCTGGTCAACAGGATACTTCCTGGCTTAAAAGGAAGGCCTGCACCCACTTTTTGGAACTATGATCTTTGACCCAGGGTACATAGTGAGGGGCTTGAAGCACAAGGTCTTTGTGGAAGGCCATACTTTCCAGATGTTCTGCCCAATGTGCTCAAGACAAATGGAAACCCCACGGCAGGCTGCAGAGAGCAGCTCAGAGTGGGCACTAGCTAAGAAACGCAAAAGGGGACGATCAAGACGGCTCAGTGGGGAAAGGTGCCTGCTGACTGCTTTGACTTCTAGCCTCAGAACTAGCCCGTGGAAAGAGAAAATTGACTTCACAAAGTTGGCTTCTGATCTCCATCCACGGTCACACAGCACACACAGAGACTCAGTAATTAAAAAAAATAAAAAGAGACCGGCAGCGGTGGCGCACGCCTTTAATCCCAGCACCCAGGAGGCAGAGGCAGGCGGATCTCTGCATTCAAGGCCTGCCTGATCTACAGTGCAAGTTCCAGGACTACACAGAGAAACCCTGAGTTAAACAAACAAATAAATGAGAAAGAGTTGACCTAGGTCGAGCCTCTTATGACTGGTGTGTCTTTGGGCCTGTGCCTTAACCTATCCGCCCTTTTTCTCACCGGTAAGCAGAAATAACCACTACCTTACAGGCAATTGTGAGCCTCTAAGAAAAATGAAGCGCGTACACACACACACACACACACACACACACACACACACACACACACACACGAACCCACTGTCCAGACTCACACTGGATGTGATTTGTTTAGGGTACGACTCGAAACGTAAGGTCCAGAGAATACGCTACAGGTGAGCGTCAGGGACCCGGAAGAGGCGCTGAACCTGCGGGTCCCCACCGACTGGAGGCTCCCGGCGACCAATTACGGCAGGACCGGACATCAAGCCCGACTCTCCTAACCTGACACACAATCATATGACGGGGAGCTCGTGGACCTGCCGTACGCCGGGCCCCTCCGAGCCCCAAAAGGGAACTTAGGCAGCGGAGGCCTCTGCTCCGGAGGGGCTGATGGCTTCCAGGACCATCTCGATCCCTACCGCCGCTTGACACCCAGGTAAACAGGCCGCTAATTCTAGCGCTTACAAGCAGGACCCATTCATTTAGGCCTCACAGGCTACCGTACCTGAAAGTGTCTTCGATCTCATTGATGGTAGTATCCTTCTCCACTACCAGGAAATTAGGGTGGCGGTTCTTGTTAAGCTCCCCTATGCCGCCCAGCAGGAAACCCGTCACCGTGTCCTCATCTCCAATCACCGCGATTAGTTTACCCCGGCCCGCCATTCTGTCTGCAGAGCGGAGAGCTCAACCGGCACCTGTGATGCTCCGCCCCCGCAGCGGCCCGCCCTTCAGACATGCGCGGTTCCCCGCCTCCCGGACATGCGCATTAGCAGGAATGCGCCTCAGTACTCCTGCGCCATAGAGGCCGGAACTACGTCTCCCGGAAGGCTGAGCGGCAGAGGCTTCTCTGGCCTTCTTTTATTCCTTTATTCTGGAAGATACGTTTGTTTGAACCTAGAGTTATTAGAGGGCGAGACTTCAGGGGGCATACTCTCTTTTTGTGTGTGTGTGTTATTTTGTTTTTGGCTTTTTGAGACAGGTGCTCATATAGTCCGGGATAGTCTCGAACTTGCAATGTAGGAGAGAATGGCCTTAAATTCCTGATCCCACTGCCACTTTCCACACAGAGTTTGTGTGTAGTTTGTTTGGTTTAAAAAATTTTTGTTGTTGTTGTTACATTTGTTCTTTCGGAGACTCTCGCGCGGAGCGGTGGAGTTGCGGGGCATGGGTGTGAGGTCATAGAGCACCCTGTGGGCCTTAGGGTCTTCTGGTCAGTTCGGTGTATGCTTTGATTTTTTTTTTCTTTCTTTCCTTCTCCTTCCTCCGCCCCTTCTGTTGTAATTTAAAAATGCCACGAAGAAGCCACACCATGCAGCAGGGCTCACATGAGAAGTTTATTGGAAGAGGAGAGAGAAGGGACAGAGAGGGAGGCAGAGATTAGTTGGTCCTCGGGGACAAGAGTGCTGGAAGATGGGCAGTGCCCACCTTTTAAAAGGCAACGTAGTAAATGTGCACAGGGGTTGTTATTAGTGGCTATAGCTGAGGATATAGCCTAATCTCTCTCTCTCTGTGTGTGTGTCTCTCTCTCTCTCTCTGTCTCTCTCTCCTTTCTTGATAGGTTTCACTATTTAGCCTAACCTGGCCTCAAACTTTTGGTGGTCCGACTTCCTTAGCCTCCCAAGTACTAGGATTTAAGGCTTGAGCCTCCGCCACACCCCCTGCCCCTTTGTTTGATTTTATTTGGCAGTTTGTTTTTTGAAACCTGCTATATGTAGCCTTTGCTGTCTGGAACTCAGAATGCAGAGACCAGGCTGCCTTTGTACTACTGCCTCATCCTCCTGAATACTGGATTATAGGAATTCACCACTAATTCCTCCCTTCTTTGTTTGTTTGTTTTGCCCAGATTTTCCAATTCTTGCTGCGGTCTGGGATTACAGACGTGGACTACCACAATTGTCCAAGAAAAGATACTTGCTAGCTGGAAGGTTCAGGTCTAAGTCAGTGTCATGTACACGTGCACATCAACTATGCCGCGGTCAACAATTACTCAATATATATTTAATTACGGCAATATATATTTAAGAAACGGCAAATTGGTGACACTGTAGTGCTGTAGAGGCAAGGCCTTGTGTTCGTTGCTACATTTAGAGAACTATGTAGCAGTGACCTTAGCATTTAGGAGGTTGAAGCAGGACTGCCACAAGTTCAAGGTCAGCCTGGACTAGGTAGTAAGACTGTTGGGCCTAGCAAGACAGCTCAGTAAGGGCACTTGCCACACAGTTGATGACCCGAGTTTCAATCCCTAGAACCTACATGGTGGATGGAGAGGAGCAAGTTCTGCAAGTTGTCCTCTGACCTCTGCATTTGTGTTCTTGAACACACAGACACACACAGAGGCACACTAAATAGCTAAATAAATGTGAATAATTGTTTTTTAAAACCCATCTCAAACAAACAAACAAACAAAAAAAACTAAGCAGGCCGGACGATGGTAGTGCACACCTTTAGTCTCAACACTTGGGAGGCAGACAAGCAGATCTCTTGAGTTCAAGGCCAACCTGGTCGCCAAGAGTTGTGGTCAGCCAGAGATACACAGCAAAATCCTATCTCAGAAACCAACCCAACAAAATGAAAGAATCGGGGAGTTTCCCTGAGGAGTAAAGGGTAATTATTACCAGACTCACACAGTAGAGCTATCCAGGGACTGTGCTGTGTATAGAGGCAGGACTGCAGGGGGGGAGTGGCAAACGGAAGTGATGGTGCCCGGAAAGCAGGTGTGTCTAATGTGATCTGAGTGTCCTTCGAGCTGGTCACACGTGTTCTCTGCA